ATTTCTGGATAAAAAACAAATTGTTAAGAACAAACAAATATTTTAAAGTAGTAACTGTTGTCTTTAAAGCTTATAATTTTATAATTTGCACAAAAAATTTGTTCTTTTTCTTTCATAAATGTAATTTTACAAAAAAAAGAAAACTGTTTTCCTCATTTTTTTCAAAAATAGCCTATGTAATTAATGATGATGTTTTAATGAGTTTTTATCTCACATATCCTTTAAATTATGAAAGTAAGAAAAAATCTTTCTGAACTGTTTTATTTAATCAGTTTAATGGCTTGGCGTTTGTAATTAACTAATGAGTTTGAATATCCCTTTCATCATCTTCTAGCTGCCTTTATTTTAAATCAGGCAGTTAATTTTCTCTTTTGAACTGTTTCTCATTATGTTATCCTTGTATAGCTTATAGCTGGTATGGGTGTTGCTCATTGTTGAAGGTCATACATGCCCTTAATCTGGGTAATTCCATATCCTTTGGTCTCTAAAGAATTATAGGCTACCTCATTAGCAATCATAGCGCATCACCTTATTCATTCTTTTCAATCAGTAGGAAAACATAATTTTCTCTAATTGAAAATAATTGGAAAAAATATGTCAAAGTCAAATTAAAGTTGTCAGTGCCAATATTTAATTTCTACTCTTACCAATAATTCTCTATTTTAGCACTTATTAACTTTCATTTGTATTCTTAATGTTAAACTGGCACCAATATGTAACAGAGAAAATGAAAAACAACACGTAATAAGAATTTGAATGAATTAAAATGCAAATTTAATTAAATTCTCCTTAAAGTCAGCTTATGCAAAGTATCATACGAACTCCATTGGGAAAGAATTTTTCCTAACACTTAAATCAGCTTCAAGATTATTCAGATATTAATCACAGAGAATTCAAAATTACATTTCCCTAAAGTCTGAATTTTTGTGAATCAACTGGTAGTTCATGCTTATTTTACAGTATTGTTCTATAAACATATAATTTCCAGCAGTAGGAGCATTTCTCAGAATCAAACAGTGGGTGTTGAATCATAATTGAAAAAACGCATTTAACCTATCGTGCAAATTAAAAATAAATGACAAAAGCAATAACAATATGTAAATTATACCCCTGATTAACTTTTCGGCAAACAGGAAGTAGGACATAAAAAAATTGTCACATGGGACACCAGATGAAGCTATTCACAAGCCATTTGAAAGATTGAAGTTTTCAGCAAACAGGAAGTAGAACATCAAACCATGATCAGATCTAGATGAAGCTTAATTTTATAAAAAAATCTAGCTAAAAAAAAATTACAAACAAAAAATTTACCAATATACTACCTTTAATATAAAAGGAAAGTTCATGATACTGCCATTTATATTGATTCATTGATGGTTGCTTAATGTCCAGCAGCAAATATAACACCAATATTCCGATTCAAATTCAAATTAACAACACTGCACGAGGAAATATGAGAAAAGAAAAATTTTACAAAATGTTTCTTTTCTACAAATCTTTATTTTTTAGAACTTTAGATATAAAATGTATAGAATGCATTTAAAACCAACTGGAGAGGGGACCTCCATTTCAATTTCATCTTACCAACTTACATTTTTCATTGTTTTTAATACAACCTATTTCTTAGTTTGAAGAACATCATGTAAAACATGCCTCCAAACAATTTCTCCCTTTAACTATTATCTGATACTGACAAGAGAAACATTTTTTCTCCATTAATACTTCTCAGTGCTTGATTTCAAAACATAGAAATGCTCTTCAGGAAAAGTCTTGTAACTGTTTGCTCTTTAAAGTAACATCTGACCATATTAAATGACATCAACACATGAGAAAATAAATGCTTCTATGTAAATACATACAGAAATGTTTAGAAGGTGTCAAGGTATATGTCAACAATTCTGAATCAATATGCTGTCCAGTTTTGAAGTGACGATAATTACACTCCCTCTTGATGAAGGGCCGAATCCCATTTACGCCAGTTATTCTAATCAATATGTATCGAAATATAATTAGCGTTTGTAGTATTGTCTCTAGAGAAGAAGAACGGAGGTGTATTGGTAATAATTGGAATCACAGATTTCCGTTAATGGACATTATAGATTTACCGTAGATTTTATCCACCACAGCAGGAAATCCGACTTTAAATGACTCGGAACAATGCCTCTTTGATGGCGACATTTAACACCCAATAAATTGATGCTATCAAACTGTTCCTTTCACTAAACGATTAATGCTCAGCATTGACTTTCTATATAGGGATACAGTGTTGACTTCAACCGTATATTTCATACTGTGTTAGGTTAAATTCAATTAGGTATAATACAAAAATGAAATCTTTTTTTCGCAATAAACAAACTAAATTGTTTGAAGAAATTACCAAGCAAATATTGTTAATTTTCTTTTCTCTGCATGAAATGAAATATCTGCTTTGTGTAATTTGACGAAATTTGATCAAGTTTCATTCATTTTTATTTGTTTTCGCTGCTTTGTGTTTCATTCATTTTTCTTTGTTTTCTTATAATCTAAACTAATACAGTGTTCCAAATGTTATTTCAGACAAAAGCAGCAGTAAGCTTGTTTTTTAGGATTTTTTTGTTGTTTTTTTTTGCAGTAAAAATTATTTGCTTATAGCAAATACATCAGGGTTGATAACCTTTTTTTTCTATTCAAAAATTGAGAGTAAAAAATCTTATACAAAGTGTCAATGTTCATCTATGTCACATCAGGGTTGGTAAAAAAAAATTATCGGTTTAAATCCAAAAAATTATGTCCACATCTATGTTTCTGTCATGAATACCAATGTAGAACTAATAAAAGAACAGAGTTCCAATGTCCCCTGCGTTTCACATATTTTATCTATCCAAGGATCAAGGGTAATAACTAATAAATACACTTTTTTTTGTACTTTAAAACTGTTGATAAATATATTAAGAGAAATAAGTTTGAAAATGGAAATGGGGAATGTGTCAAACAGAAAACAACCCGACCAAAGAGCAGAAAACAGCCCAAGGCCACCAATGGGTCTTCAACACAGCGAGAAAATCCTGCACCCGGAGGCGGGCTTCAGCTGGCCCTTAAACAAAAATGTGTTCTAGTTAAATGAAAATGAACGTCACACTAAACTCCAAAACATAAAATGAACTAAAATTAAAAACATACAAGACTAACAAAGGCCAGAGGCTCCTGACTTGGGACAGGCGCAAAAATGCAGCAGGGTTAAACATGTTTTGTGAGATCTCAACCCTCCCCCTATACCTCTAGCCAATGTAGAATAAACAAACACACAGCAATACACACAGTAAAACTCAATTTAAAAGAAGTCTGAGTCTGAATGCTTCAGAACAAATTCAATGTGATTTCCAATATAATTAATATTTCAAAGGGGCATAACTTGTTAAAAATATTTGATCAGCACTTATTTTCAAAAGTGTCAAAGACATTGCTGATATAAACCTATGATATAAATTTCATAAAATTCTGGCAAGAATTGTACACATGAGAGCGCTAACGATGCAATTTTCCATATAATTAATATCTCCAAGGGGCATAACTCTTTTCAAAATAATTGATCTGCAAAGGTTTTCGACCTCATCCAAGACATTGCTGATATAAACCTATAATATAAATTTCATGAAAATCTGGCAAGAATTGTACACTCACAAGGCAATTTTCCTTACAATTAATGTTTCCATGAGGCATAACTCTTTTTAAAATAATTGATCGGCACTGATTTTCAAACTCATCCGAAACATTGCTGATATAAGTTTCATAAAAATCTGGCAAGAATTGTACACATGAGAGTGCTAACAATGCAATTTCAATATTATTAATGTTTCAAAGGGGCATAACTCTTTTAAAAATAATTGATCAGCACTGATTTTCAAAATGTCCAAGACATTGCTGATATAAAGCTATGATATAAGTTTCATAAAAATCTGGCAAGAATTGTACAAATGAGAGCGCTAACAATGCAATTTTTCATAAAATCAATGTTTCAAAGGCGCATAACTCTTTTAAAAATAATTGATCGGCACTGATTTTCGAACTCGTCCAAGACATTGCTGATATAAACCTATGACATAAGTTTTATAAAAATCTGCCAAGAATAGTACATGCAAGAGTGCTAACAAGAACGGACAGACGGACAATACTGATTGTGTCTACCAGTCTGAGAACTATTTTTAACAACCCCTTCCACTCTCAATCTTCCTAGGATTCATAGGCTTGTTTGTTTATTTAAATCATGTTTCGGTACAATATTTTGGAAGATAGGAAACTCCTGAATTAATGACAACAAATTAAGAGAAAAAAGGACTACTGCCTGAAATTATTGTGTGCATTTATTATTGTGATTGTTGAAGAATGGACAAAACTATGAGTTTAATTATTGCGATTTCAGGAAAATCTGCATACAGAATTTTTACAGATCTATGTTTCAGGTATCAGAATGCAAGTTCTTATTATTGTGATACTCACCCAGTCGCATTATTCGCATTAATAAAAAAAACCTCACAATAATTTCTGAATTTACAATATTCTTATATTTCTGCTCTAAAAAAAAATAAAGTTCTTCTTATATTCTAAACATGTTTTAGTGTAACATTTTATGACTTAAAAGCATGCCATTGTCTGGATAACTTAATAAGATTCTTATTTAATTCTTCAAGGATCTACTTTAAGCTATAGTAATACAGGAAACCAGACATATAAGTCTGTATGGTGACCTATAATTGCTTTTATTGTCGTCATTTGAAATTTGGTGGATAGTTGTCTCATTAGCAATCATACCAAATCTCCTTATCTTAATATATATAATGACTTCACCTTGAGGTTAATCTCTCATTCTAGGAACCAGTTTAATCTAAAGTTATTCAGGGAACCAGACTTACAATACCTTTACCTACCTCTCTGACATCTTGTAGGAGTCTGTATCTACTAATCTAGGGCCCAGTACAGGTTAAAGTTATTCAGGGAACCAAACATACAATGACTTGACCTACCTCTCTGACATTTCGATGTGAATCTGTATCTACCATTCTAGGGACCAATATAGGTTGAAGTAGTTCTTTGAAAGTTTTGTGTTCTGTGTATTCTTTTGCTAATATTTCCATCACTTTTGTTGATCCCCATTTTATTGTTACAGTACTGCTCTGAAATGTAAAAAAAAAATCGTGAAATAATATGGTATACAATACTCTCCAAGAAATTTCATAGATCCAATAGGTCCAAAAGTAGACTAAAATATGACACGTTAGTGAAATTACTTGGTCTATAATGCTGTCAAGTAATTTCATATACATGTCCCATAAGACCATCAAGTCAACAAAAACAAACTGATTTATTAACAGTGATTCACTTATATATATATCATGAATGCTGGTTTTGTGATATTTAACGTGACTCAGGTTAATATCTGGTGATGTGATTAAACCTTAAATAGCTAGATGACAGTAATTAACAATCCACAATATACAGAGATAGATTGCTAAGTGAATCACTGCAAATCACCAGCATTAAATGTCAAAAATCATTACCAATAGTGATTTTCTTGAATGACATTGACTGTACTCGGTACATGGGGTGGTGGTGGGAGTGAGGGCGTTTGGGGGAGGGAGAGTTCCTTATTAGGTTTTTTAATATGATGTGCTGTGATTGTCAATGACACCAATCACTAACAAAAGACCATTGAAAGAACTTATGAATCAAAACACTGAGAACACTACAAAACAAGGATATCTCTGTCACCCTATGGAAAAATTACCAGTTGTCTGAATCTAAAATAATGTGCAAACCTCACAAAGGGTACATATATCTAAGATTTCCATGTATAACACTTTAATAAGAAATACCATGAGTTTAAAAATATTTGAGATCAGCTACCTAAAGATTTAACTAGAGGCTCTAAAGAGCCTGTGTCGCTCACCTTGGTCTATGTGCATATTAAACAAAGGACACAGATGGATTCATGACAAAATTGTGTTTTGTGATGGTGATGTGTTTTGGTGATGGTGATGTGTTTGTAGATCTTACTTTACTGAACATTCTTGCTCCTTACTATTATCTCTATCTATAATGAACTTGGCCCGGTAGTTACAGTGGAAAATACTTTGTAAAAATTAACAAAAATTTACAAAATTTATGAAAATTGTAAAAAATTGACTATAAAGGGCAATAACTCCTTAAGGGGTCAATTGACAATTTTGGTCATGTTGCCTTATTTGTAGATCTAACTTTGCTGTACATTATTGCTGTTTACAGTTTATCTCTATCTATAATAATATTCAAGATAATAACCAAAAGCTGCAAAATTTTCTTAAAATTACCAATTCAGGGGCAGCAACCCAACAATGTGTTGCCTGATTGGTCTGAAAATTTCAGGGCAGATAGATCTTGACCTAATGAACAATTTTACCCCCATGTCAGATTTGCTCTAAATGCTTTGGTTTCAGAGATATGAGCCAAAAACTGCATTTTACCCTATGTACTATTTTTTAGCCATGTCGGCCATCTTGGTTCGCGGGCGGGGTCATCGGACACATTTTTTAAACAAGATACCCTAATGATGATTGTGGACAAGTTTGGTTAAATTAGTCTTAGTAGTTTCAGAGGAGAAGATTTTTGTAAAAGATTACAAAAATTTACGAAAAATTGTTAAAAATTGACTATAAAGGGCAATAACTCCTTAAGGGGTCAACTGACCATTTTGGTCAAGTTGACTTATTTGTAGATCTTACTTTGCTGAACATTATTGCTGTTTACAGTTTATCTCTATCTATAATAATATTCAAGATAATAACCAAAAGCTGCAAAATTTTCTTAAAATTACCAATTCAGGGGCAGCAACCCAACAATGTGTTGCCTGATTGGTCTGAAAATTTCAGGGCAGATAGATCTTGACCTAATGAACAATTTTACCCCCATGTCAAATTTGCTCTAAATGCTTTGGTTTCAGAGATATGAGCTAAAAACTGCATTTTACCCTATGTACTATTTTTTAGCCATGTCGGCCATCTTGGTTCGCGGGCGGGGTCATCGGACACATTTTTTAAACAAGATACCCTAATGATGATTGTGGACAAGTTTGGTTAAATTTGTCTTAGTTGTTTCAGAGGAGAAGATTTTTGTAAAAGATTACAAAAATTTACGAAAAATGGTTAAAAATTCACTATAAAGGGCAATAACTCCTTAAGGGGTCAACTGACCATTTTGGTCAAGTTGACTTATTTGTAGATCTTACTTTGCTGAACATTATTGCTGTTTACAGTTTATCTCTATCTATAATAATATTCAAGATATTAACCAAAAACGACAAAATTTCCTTAAAATTACCAATTCAGGGGCAGCAACCCAACAACGGTTTGCCTGATTAGTCTGAAAATTTCAGGGCAGATAGATCTTGACCTAATGAACAATTTTAAACTCATCAGATTTGCTCTAAATGCTTTGGTTTCAGAGATATGAGCCAAAAACTGCATTTTACCCTATGTACTATTTTTTAGCCATGTCGGCCATCTTGGTTCGCGGGCGGGGTCATCGGACACATTTTTTAAACAAGATACCCTAATGATGATTGTGGACAAGTTTGGTTAAATTTGTCTTAGTAGTTTCAGAGGAGAAGATTTTTGTAAAAGATTACAAAAATTTACGAAAAATGGTTAAAAATTCACTATAAAGGGCAATAACTCCTTAAGGGGTCAACTGACCATTTTGGTCAAGTTGACTTATTTGTAGATCTTACTTTGCTGAACATTATTGCTGTTTACAGTTTATCTCTATCTATAATAATATTCAAGATAATAACCAAAAGCTGCAAAATTTTCTTAAAATTACCAATTCAGGGGCAGCAACCCAACAATGTGTTGCCTGATTGGTCTGAAAATTTCAGGGCAGATAAATCTTGACCTAATGAACAATTTTACCCCCATGTCAAATTTGCTCTAAATGCTTTGGTTTCAGAGATATGAGCTAAAAACTGCATTTTACCCTATGTACTATTTTTTAGCCATGTCGGCCATCTTGGTTCGCGGGCGGGGTCATCGGACACATTTTTTAAACAAGATACCCTAATGATGATTGTGGACAAGTTTGGTTAAATTTGTCTTAGTTGTTTCAGAGGAGAAGATTTTTGTAAAAGATTACAAAAATTTACGAAAAATGGTTAAAAATTCACTATAAAGGGCAATAACTCCTTAAGGGGTCAACTGACCATTTTGGTCAAGTTGACTTATTTGTAGATCTTACTTTGCTGAACATTATTGCTGTTTACAGTTTATCTCTATCTATAATAATATTCAAGATATTAACCAAAAACGACAAAATTTCCTTAAAATTACCAATTCAGGGGCAGCAACCCAACAACGGTTTGCCTGATTAGTCTGAAAATTTCAGGGCAGATAGATCTTGACCTAATGAACAATTTTAAACTCATCAGATTTGCTCTAAATGCTTTGGTTTCAGAGATATGAGCCAAAAACTGCATTTTACCCTATGTACTATTTTTTAGCCATGTCGGCCATCTTGGTTCGCGGGCGGGGTCATCGGACACATTTTTTAAACAAGATACCCTAATGATGATTGTGGACAAGTTTGGTTAAATTTGTCTTAGTAGTTTCAGAGGAGAAGATTTTTGTAAAAGATTACAAAAATTTACGAAAAATGGTTAAAAATTCACTATAAAGGGCAATAACTCCTTAAGCGGTCAACTGACCATTTTGGTCAAGTTGACTTATTTGTAGATCTTACTTTGTTGAACATTATTGCTGTTTACAGTTTATCTCTATCTATAATAATATTCAAGATAATAACCAAAAGCTGCAAAATTTTCTTAAAATTACCAATTCAGGGGCAGCAACTCAACAAAGTGTTGCCTGATTGGTCTGAAAATTTCAGGGCAGATAGATCTTGACCTGATAAACAATTTTACCCCATGTCAGATTTGCTCTAAATGCTTTGGTTTCAGAGATATAAGCCAAAATCTACATTTTACCCCTATGTTCTATTTTTAGCCATGGCGGCCATCTTGGTTGGTTGGCGGGGTCATCGGACACATTTTTTAAACTAGATACCCCAATGATGATTGTGGCCAAGTTTGGTCAAATTTGGCCCAGTAGTTTCAGAGGAGAAGATTTTTGTAAAAGTTTACGGACGACGGACGACGGACGCAGGACGACGGACGCAAAGTGATGAGAAAAGCTCACTTGACCTTTCAGGTCAGGTGAGCTAAAAATAAAGAGAAGAAATATAGGGGTTGCAAGTGAAAACTTTTTAATGCATAACTTAGAAAAACTCCAGAGAGGATACAAATTATCATATAAAGTTGAAAACATAAGAAGTAAACATTCTTAATTTGTTGTTCAAACTGGACAATGATCAAATTTTGCCTCCATAGGACATCATTTCCAGCTTGTAATTTAACATTGCTGTGTTCAGTGAACAACCAAATCTTAAGCAAAACCTTAATTTGGCATATATTTTGAATAAACGCATATAATAATAAACATGGGCACTGAGTTTCAAGGTCATGTGACCACAATTAAACCAACAGACAGACATACAGACTGGAAAACATAATAATACAAGCAGGTATCACAGGTGAGGGACTGATTGTTAGTTGCTTAACGTCCAGTGGCAAATATTTCATGCATGTTCAATACGAGAACAAATTACCAATAAATACAATAGGTAATCCTGTAATAGATGCCTTCTGGGATGAAGGTCAGGGAAATTTGGACTGTCATTGAAATATGAATGTACATATATACTGATAGGGACAGAAATTTTGCCTTGCAACATTGTGAGGCATGAAAAATACATTCCTTAATAACTGGCATAAAATTTAATAGGTACAAATCAATGATAACTGATACCCCACAAATTTTGTCGTTTTACCTTTACTTAATCAACAGCTACAAAACATTTACAAGTAGTGCAACAGATAAGCTTGTTCTTATCAAAATATTGTTTTCAAACAGAATTCTGCTGACCTCTTATCTACCATACAATGTATCAGCTAAAAACTTGGACTACTTTCAAATAATGTCTGTGAATAATACAAGCCAACAAAATATGTTGAATTCCAATTACGTTTTGAAAATGCACCAATTCACTATTGTGAATAGTTTAATTTTTTGCAGCTTCTATCAAAGTCACA